GCGCCCTGGCTCGGGGACTCAGGCTGAGCAGAGCGCACACGGAGCCACTGCCGTAGCATTTGTGTGAGGGCTCCGTGCTCCCTGTCCGAGTCTGAGCCGGAGCCGCGGCCCCCCCTTGTGCACGATGGAGCGAACTCACGGGATCCAGGGCCCGGTTAGTGCCAGTGACAATAACGTGGGTGGCTGAGACCCTGGCAACTCGTGTCAGCAAAGGGCTCAGTCCCTGCTGCCCCGGGGAGGGGGGGGTTAGAAGTAGCATTTGTGTGAGGGCTCCGTGCTCCCTGTCCGAGTCTGAGCCGGAGCCGCGGCCCCCCCTTGTGCACGATGGAGCGAACTCACGGGATCCAGGGCCCGGTTAGTGCCAGTGACAATAACGTGGGTGGCTGAGACCCTGGCAACTCGTGTCAGCAAAGGGCTCAGTCCCTGCTGCCCCGGGGAGGGGGGGGTTAGAACTGGTGCCCGAGAGCTGGCTGGGGGAAGCCTCAGGGTCACACTATGATCTCTCCCAGCCTTCTGCCCAAGCGGCTCTGTCCCCTGCTGCCGCCTCCCCCTGGCAGGGCCATGACAGCAGCCTGAGGTCGGCACCTTGTCAGGGGGCTCGGAGCTGCTTTTCCAGCAGCCTTGGAGAAGGGCCATTAGCAGAGGTCCAGGAAATCAGAACCTGGCCCAGTCAGGACCCCTGGGCGCTGTCCCCGGCTCCAGGAGGGCTGTGGGGTCTAGTGGTTAAGTGTTTGGTGGGGCGGGGAGAAGGGAGGAGAATCGGCGTCCTTGGTGAAATATCTCACTTCTCATGTGTTCCCTCCGCTCCCCCCGCGGCTGTCCTGGGCCACCGTGGCCCATGGCTTGCCATGCCTGTGCCTGCTTCTCCTCCCGTGCACGCCCCAGCCTGTGCTTGGCCCTGGCCCGGTGCTGCATGTGGCAGCGGAAATCTCCCACCCCCACCCCGGGCTGCAGACAGCCCTGCCTCCTTGCTGCCCCTAGGATTGGCCACCGCCTCCCCTGGGCCCTTGGCTGGGGGCCGGCTGCAGCGTGTGGACACTCCCGCTTGGGAGGCGGCTGAATACACCTGCTGTGCTGTAGGGGACTGGCGGCAGGAACAGCCTGGTCCGACTCCAGCCTCAGCCCCCCCCATGGGTGCCCTTTTCAGGCTGAATCCTCCCTTTCAAGTGGGCCCAGCGGAGCAAGGCCCCTCCCGAGGCAGGAGGGGCCATGTAGCTTTGCGATCAAAGCTGCCCCAGAAGGCCTGGGACTAAAGCAGGACCAGCCTTTCCATGCTGCCAGGAGGGAGCCGCTTTCACAGCCCCCAAGAGTCCGGCCAGGCAGCCTGTCCGCTTTGATTTCCTGGCTACTTCCCTCCCGTGTCCTGCAGAGAGCTTCCAAAATCTCGGCCTTTCCT